AGGGGGGGAAACAAGGAGGAAGAAAAAAAAACAAAAAAAGAAGGAGAGTTTTAAAAAGGGTAAAGGGAAATTTTTAATTTGAGGGGAAAACCCCCCTTTAAAAACAAGAAGAAAAAACGAAATAGATCGGGGGCCTTAAAGTTTCCCTCCAAAAAAAATTTTTGGGAAAAAAATTTGAAATGTACGTTAGTTTAAAAAAATTTAAAAGGGAAAAATTAAAAAACAAGAAAAAATTATGCTAAAAAACCCGATAGAACATAATCAAGGGGCCCAAAAACCCTTTGAAAAAATAAACCCACAGTGATCTAAAAAAAAATCTGTTTTCAAACCCCAAATTAGGGTTTAACACATTATAAACATTTTTAAAAAAATTTAAAAAAAGGGTGATTTTAGAAAAATTGAAAATCAAAAGAAAAAGCAAAACCCAAATACCCTTTAGGAAAGGTAAAAATACCCTCAAGGATAAAAAAAAATATAGGATTGGGCCGGCAGATAAGGGGGGGGGTTTTATGGGTTAAAATTATCAAAAAACATTTTTTAGGGAACATTCAATGGAGGGAAAAATTTTAAAAAGAGGGAAAGTACATATCTGGAGCTTAAGAAACAATCCAAATAAAGATTTATAAAAAAAAGAGTTAATAAAAGTTATAAATTAGGGAAAAATAAAAAGCACATTTTAAAAAGAAAAGGGGAAAAAATTATCTGGTCCCAAAACAGAAAGTAAACTGCCTTTAATAAACTCAATACCAAAAAAATCCAAAAAAGACCCCTGTGAATCCCCCATTTAAAACCATTTTTAAATGGGATAATTTTTTAAACCCAAAAGGGAGGGGGGGAATTTTAAAAGACCCAATATTTGAAACCAAATTAAATTAAAAAAACCCCGGGCAAATTTAAAAAGGATACAAAGACATGTTATTAACTGATGCAAAACCCTACCCCCTCATGTGTAGTTATAATAAGTACACGGATTTCCCCATCATTGTAAAAAAAAAATAGAAAAAATTTTTTGGGGAAATTTGGGAAGCAGCTAAGGGGGCTTTGGATAAGTACCCCCGTTTTTAACATAAAAAGGACAAAAAAAAAAAATTTCTTATTAAATTTTTTAACTTTTTGTCTTAAACAAAATTTTCTTTTGGTAAAAATAACAAAATTTTTTGAAAGGGTCAAAGGGAGTAGAAAAGGGGGCCGTTTTCCCCCCAAACCCCCATAGCAAATCATAAAAGGCAAAATGGGGGGAAAGACACAATTTTAAAAAAATCCAAAACAAGAGCTTATACCCTTTACCGGGGGCTTTATAAAAGATACCCTTTCCCTTTATGGAGAGGAGATGAAAAATTTTTAAATTTGAGCAATTCTATAGGGAAAAATTAAAAAAACAACCCACAATAATATAACAATTGGGCGGGAATAGCGTGATACAAAATTTAAAAATTTTAAGATAAAAGGTTAGTTAAAAAAGGGGGATCATCTTTCTTACAAAAAATTACAAAAAAAAAACACTGTAGAAATTCGTATATACCTCCCCATATTTTCCATCAAAAGGGCAGGGAAAAAAATATACCTAAGGTCATTTTCACAAAAATTTAGACGGAATTGTACATATGATAAGACTATCGGGAACAGAGTGACATCCTTGTAAAGAGATTTATCTAAAGGGAAAAAAAAAGAGTATATAGTGAAGAAAAAGAAAGGGGTGGGTTTCATTGGGTTTAAAGAAAAATTACAAAATAAAAATTTCATGAAATACAAATTATGGATAATGCAAACGAGTATCATAATCCCCAAAAAAAAAAAAATATAAAGAGGGGGAAAAAAAATAATTAAAAAACATTGGGATATATTGAAACTGGGACAAAGATTTGAAAAAATCCCCATTCCGGGGAAAACCCACAAGATTCATTTACAAAAAAGTTTCCCAACATTAAGAAAAGGTAGAAAAGGGAAAAAAAATTTTTAATCCCCCCAAACAAAAAATTTACTCTCATTTTTTCAGGGAATTGGTTTTTATAAAAGTGGAAGATGCTATAGGGTTTATTTAAACAAAGAATAACCCCTGGAAAAGATTGAATTTTCCCCAAATTCCCAAAAAAGTGGAAAAAAAATTTAAGGGTAAAACCAAATTTTTAACATGGACACTAAGGGGGGAAAATATGCATTAAAAAGTCCGTTTTAAAAAAAATCTACATAGGGGAAAAACAAAACCATGCCAAAAAAAAAGGAAAAAAAGGGGCTGTTAGAAATTTTTTCAAAAGGATATAAATATCATAATGTATCTTTTCATTTTTAAATTACAACCAAGGCCAGAAAAACAGAAGGATTAGAGTTTTGGGCGAATAGAAAGGCATAAGGCACCACTGGAGAGGGGATAACCTTGTCAGGAAATAGTAAAAAAGAATCCCAGTGGATTTATCAACATGAAATTCTTTGCACCCGCTGGATTAAATATGGAATTTGTCTTAGCTTGGTTTCCTGAGTGATTATTGATATTAATTGAATTATAAGGAGTATAATAATATATTCTTATATAGAGTAAATTAATATGGGGAAATTAGATGTGTTTACGTTCAAAACGTCAATTAAAGAATAGTTTTAATAAATAATTTTTAAGGAAAGTTGATGCTTTATTAGCATTTTTTTTTAAATATAATATATAATTTTTGGTACCGCTGCCTGAATATTGACATATTTTAGTTATCACGGTTCATGTTTCTTTCCATTTTTATTTAATTTTTATTATTCTTTATTATTTTTATTTTTATTTTTAGTTTTTATTTTATATTATTTCTAATTTTTTTTTTTTTTTTTTTATTTTTTGGGGATTTGATTTTTGTTTTTTTTTATTTTTATTGCTTTTTTTTTATTTTATTGCTTCATTTTTTTATCATTTGTTAATTTATATTCATTTTTTTAATTTTTTTTATTTTATTTTTTTTTATATTTATATTTATATTTTTTTGTATTTTTTATTTTTACTTATTTATTGTTTATTTTTTGCTTTATTTTCATTTTTCATAGTTATGTTTATTATATTATTTTTATTTTCATTATTCATTTTTTTTTTTATATTTTTTTTTATTAATTTATTTCTTTTATACTAATTGGCTTATTATCAAAATTAGTTTTATTGTCCATATTCATTTTAAGGTTATTATCTATTATAAATGTTTATAAATGATTATTTTTGTTTTATTTTGGAGATTAAATTGGTTGGAATGAAGGTGTGTGTGTGGAAGCTATAGTTCGATATGACAGCCGGGTGAAAAAGCATTTCGATATGCAGAGCCGGGAGGATGAAGAGGCGGCACTATCTATTAATATAATATTATATTAGCTATCAATATGTGGTCTAGCGATTGAAACTTCTTTAAATGGACCATTTCAGTTGGGCGGCACCAAGAAAGAACAAGAACGATTAATTATTTAAAATCATAACCAAACAATGGCAGTCGAGGTAGGAATATATATAACCTTCGCGGTGCAAGATGGACATTCTAAAAACTACCAGATCCCCACATAGGATAGCTTTCGAGTCCATGTAAAAAATAAAAAAAGCGTAACTGCGTTAGGGGGAGGGGCGGGGGTGAGGGGGGGGTGGTGGGTGGGGGGGGGTGACGTCTATCACTGCAATCCACAGAAGGATACGGCGAGTTATAGGCGATTTGAAGGATTGTTGAACACACACACACCTTGCAGGGCTGGGCTGTTTGCGAAGCATGCAGGACCTTGGATTTTTTATCTTACTCAAAGGTTTTATACCTTTTGCTGATAACCCATGTGAGTGGAGAAAAAAGCGAGGATTCCAGAAGCTCATTAAACAATTTTACTAAGGATAAGACACTATGTTTTCTTTTTCCCTTTTTTATGTATGCATCGTTATGGAGGAATTAAGCCAAGCAGATAGAGGAGAAAGTCCTAATTGAGAAAAGCTGAATGATGGAGAAAGGAGAGGAGGAAGGAGAGAGAGAGAGAGAGGTTCATGCCATGAACATAGACTTACCACGCCAGTTCAGATTGATTCACATTAACCATCTCAATTCGTATCGACACTGAAACTATTATTAATTCATCACAAAATTTTCTTCCAGTTTATTTTATTTTATTTTTATTTATTTTTTTTTTTAAATAGTTTTTCAGGCACGAAGTTTTTTATGTATTGATTTACAATATTAATTGTACTTTTTTTCACTTCTATCATGGATTTCAAGTATTATGCAAATATGAATTTAAGTATTATGGATATAGATTATTATTGAATTTTTTAGTTATATACAATTATTTATTTATTTATTTAGAGCACTTAGATTTATTAATTTTGGAGCGCGGTACAATATAGATATATGATGTTTATTAATTTGGCTCCTATGTCCCATGTGGACCAGGGTTGCACCATAGAATTTTATTGCTTGTAGTTCTGCAGCAGCTGGAGGGCCATAGTTCCCCACCCCTGATTTACAGCATGCCTTTTTGCAGTGATGACATGACTCCTGTGCACATTCAATGGCGTGACATCATCACTGCCTGGCCATTGGATTGGCCTGGTCTGTGATGACGTCACACAATATGTGTGCCCATTCTCCTCTGACCTCAACAAGGCATTTTCCGCCACTCACCTGGATATTTTCTCTTTTTTTGGACTATTTTTTGTAAACTCTAGAGATGGTTTTGGGCATGAAAATCCCCAGTCAAGCTCGGTAGTTGTTTTTAAATACTCAGACCAGCCCGTCTGCCACCAACAACCATGCCACGTTCATGTAGACTTCACCTCCGCAACATCTCTCCAAGATATGGCCATTTCTAACCTCGGAAACCACTAAGAGCAACTTATTCACTCTCCCTTGTTATCTCTTTGCCTTGACTATTGTAAATTGCCTCCTCATTGGCCGACCTACGATCGCAGGCTATCCCCTCTTCAGTCTATCATGAATGCTGCTGCCAGACTCCATCCACCTTACTAACTGTTCCATAACCTGCCATCCATCTCTGCCAATCCCTCCCACTGACCTCCACTCAGTGTCCTCCATCCCTCTCTGCCAATCCCTCCACTGACCTCCACTCAGTGTCCTCCCATCCCTCTCTGTCAATCCCTCCACTGACCTCCACCCAGTGTCCCTCCAACCCCCTCTCTGGCCAATCCTTCCACTGACCTCCACTCAGTGTCCTCCACCCCTCTCTGCCAATCCCTCCACTGACCTCCACTCAGTGTCCTCCACCCCTCTCTGCCAACCCCCCCTCCTCTGACCTCCACTCAGTGTCCTCCATCACCCCCCTCTCTGCCAATCCCTCCACTGTCCTCCACTCAATGTCCTCCACCCTTCTTTGCCAATCCCTCCACTGACTTCCCATTGCCCAACGGATAAAATTCAAAACATTAACAATCACATATAAAGCCATTTATAACTCTGCCCCAAATTACATCACCAATCTTGTCTCCAAATATCACCCAAACCGTCCTCCCAGCTCCTCCCACTACCTCCTGCTCTCTAGCTCCCTTGTCTCCTCCTCCCATGCTTGTCCTCCAGGACTTATCCAGAGCTTCTCCCCCCATCCTCTGTAACTCTCAACCCTAATTTATCAGACTATCGCCTACTCTGCTCTCTTTTAGGTGATCTCTGAATCTCTTCAGGGAAGCCTATCCTGCCCTCAGCTAATACTGGTATCTTCTATTCCTCCTATCAGTCTATCCCCCACAGTTACTACCGTTTGTACCACTAGCCCCTCCCTCCTAGATTGTAAGCTCCCAGGATCAGGCCCTCCTAACCCTCTTGTATTGAACTGTATTGTTGCTGTATTGTCTCCTGTTATATTGTAAAGCACTGAGCAAACTGTTGGCGCCATAAATCCTGTATAATAATAATAATAAGTCACTGAAATCCCCTTTCTTCCCCATTCTGATGCTCAATTTGAACTTCAGCAAGTCATCTTCAGCACGTCTAGATGCCTAAATGCATTGAGTCAATGACATGTGATTGGCTAATAACAATTTGTGTTACCAACCAATTGAACAGGTGGACCTAATAAAGTGGCCAGTGAGTGTATATCCTGTTCTAGTATTGTTGCCTCGAGACGAGTCTTTCAGCCCAGTGTTGGAAAGAAGCTGCTTTCAGAAGACGTTCTTAGCGGCGGTGTCGGCTCCGGCTGATGAGTAGGGACGTCACGGCATTCTGTAGGATTAGAAAGCTGTCTTATCATGCCGGCAGATTTCTGTAAAGCTCATTTATTGACATAATATTACACATCCTTGGACGGTGATCATCTCTGTGTTCTTGCCGAGCCTCATCAGAGGCCTCAACAACCATGATAACAGCAACGCGGCCGTCATACTAATGCAGGGGGAGATCTCAGCAGAGCGGGAGACATGGGCAGTGAAGCGTGACGGATACGCTGCAACTGAGCATCTCAAGCTGTTCCCGTGTTCTGCGCTATGATACCACGCCGGCGCTTTCTGCTTCCCATACACAATATTTCATCAGGCTGAACAGAAATCATTTCCCCCATCTCTAATGACTGGCCTTTTCTTCTGTAGCTGGAGTAGTAAAACGGAACTCCCGGAACACATGAAAAAATACCACCAATGCAGTTGTATTATCAACGATAGAATGTATTATTATTATTATACAGGATTTATATGGCGCCAACAGTTTGCTCAGCGCTTTACAATATAACGGGAGACAATACAGCAACAATATAGTTCAATACAAGAGGGATAGGAGGGCCCTGATCCTGGAAGCTTACAATCTAAGAGGGAGGGGCTAGTGGTACAAACGGTAGTAACTGTGGGGGATGGACTGGTTGGAAGAGTAGAAGATTCCCTTATTAGCTGAGGGCAGGATAGGCTTCCCTGAAGAGATTGGTTTTCAGAGATCGCCTAAAAGAGAGCAGAATAGGCGATATTCTGATAAATTGGGGTATAGAGTTCCAGAGGATGGGGAAGCTCTGGAGAAGTCCTGGAGACGAGCATGGGAGGAGGAGACAAGGAAGCTAGAGAGCAGGAGGTCATGGGAGGAGCGTAGAGTATGGTTTGGGTGATATATGGAGACAAGATCATTGATGTAATTTGGGGCAGAGTTATAAATGGCTTTATATGTTATTGTTAATGTTTTGAATTTTATCCGTTGGGCAATGGGAAGCCAGTGGAGGGATTGGCAGAGAGGGGTGGAGGTCAGTGGAGGGATTAGCAGAGAGGGGTGGAGGACACTGAGTGGAGGCCAGTGGAGGGGTTTGCAGAGGGATGGAGGACACTGAGTAGAGGCCAGTGGAGGGATTGGCAGAGAGGGGTGGAGGACACTGAGTGGAGGTCAGTGGAGGGATTGGCAGAGAAGGGTGGAGGACACTGAGTAGAGGCCAGTGGAGGGATTGGCAGAGAGGGGTGGAGGACACTGAGTGGAGGCCAGTGGAGGGATTGGCAAAGAGGGGTGGAGGACACTGAGTGGAGGCCAGTGGAGGGATGGAGGACACTGAGTGGAGGCCAGTGGAAGGATTGGCAGGGAGGGTGGCAGATACAGAACAGTTAGTAAGGTGGATGAGTCTGGCAGCAGCATTTGTGGTAGACTGAAGAGGGGATAGCCTGCGATGAGGTCGGCCAATGAGGAGGGAGTTACAATAGTCAAGGCGAGATATAAGGGAGTGAATAAGTTTGCTTAGTGGTTTCCGAGGTTAGGAACGGTCGTATCTTGGAGATGTTGCGGAGGTGAAGTCTACAAGATTTGGACAGTGAATGGATCTGGGGCTGAAAGGACAGATGGGAGTCTAGGATTACACCTAGTACCCTGGCATGAGGGGAGGGACTGATGATTATTGATCTTGATGGAGAAGTCAGGGGAGGGGGCACGGGATGGGGGGAATACTAAGAGCTCAGTTTTGGAAAGTTTGAGTTTGAGGAAGTGGAGTGACATCCATGCCGATATGTCACTTAGTAGCTTAGTAATGCGAGAGGAGACTGTAGGGGTGAGGTGAGGGGTAGAAAGATAGATTTGTGTGTCATCAGCATAGAGATGGTACTTAAAGCCATGGGAGTTTATCAAGTGACCAAGGGAGGAGGTGTAGATGGAGAAGAGAAGGGGTCCAAGGACAGAACCTTGAGGGACCCCCAACAGAAAGAGGGAGTGAAGAGGAGGAGGCAGCATTATAGGTAATGCTGAATGAGCGCTGTGATAGGCAGGAGGAGAACCAGGAGAGAGCGGAGTCTTGGAGGCCAAGAGAGTGGAGTTTTTTGAGGAGGAGGGGACTTTCCTCTGTCATACCCTGCACCAGGATCCTTAATGTTGGTTGGTATGGGGCACTAAGTGGAGAAGTGACATCACTGCTAGACGTAGTTACTGTTGCATTAGAGGAGATAAGCTGCAATATGTTGCATTTTGGGTTTAATAGCCTTTTTTTCACCCTTCCTATGTATGGAAATCTACACCTTCATCATGATAGTACAGAGAATACATGATGTGGCGCTGCTACAACTAATACTACCGAAAAGTGGAAGATACCGCATAAAAATAGAATAGAATATAAATAATTACCGTATTTGCCGGCGTATAAGACGACTTTTTACCCTTTGAAAATCTTCTCAAAAGTCGGGGGTCGTCTTATATGCCGGTATACGGCATACTGACACTTTTTAGGGGGGCGGCGCAGTGCCGCCGCCGCCCGCCCACCCCCCCCCCTTCCAACGGAAGGGACACTAAGTATAGGGGTGGTCAGGGGCTGTTTCTTACCTGGCTCCGGTCCCACGACGATCCGGTCCAGGAAGCGCTGCTGCTCCTTAAGTTCGGCCACTGGATGTTCGCGCGGCTGCTCGGCTCCGCCTCCTCACCGGTGATTGGCTGCCAGAACTGTAGCTCAGGAAAGGCACACAGGCAGCCAATCACCGGCGAGGGGGCGGAGCCGAGCGGCCCCACGAAAATCGAGTGCAGGAGCAGCAGGTAAAGTGTTCAGTGTACAGGTGCTGCTGCAACCACATATGCTGGCTGCAGCAGCACCATACGAGAACAGGGTCAGCAAGTGTAAATTGGTGTCAGTGGGAGGAATAGTGCCCCATCATTGGTGTCACTGATACCAATGATGGGGCACTATTCCTCCCACTGACACCAATGATGGGGCACTATTCTTCCCACTGACACCAACGATGGGACACTTATTCCTCCCCCCCACTGACACCAATGATGGGGCACTATTTTCACCCCCCACTGACACCAACGATGGGCACTATCCCCCCCCCCACTGACACCAATGATAGGGCACTATTCCACCCCCCACTGACACCAATGAATGGGGCACTATTCCACCCCCCACTGACACCAATGATGGGACACCATTCCTCCCACTGACACCAATGTTGGGACACTATTCCTCCCACTGACACCAATGATGGGGCACTATTCCCCCCACTGATACTAATGATGGGGGCACTATTCCTGCCACTGATACTAATGATGGGGAACTATTCCTCCCACTGACACCAATGATGGGGCACTATTCCTCCCACTGACACCAATGATGGGGCACTATTCCTCCCACTGACACCAATGATGGGCACTATTCCTCCCACTGATACCAATGAATGGTGGGGCATTTTTGTCTATTCCCTCCCACGGATACCAATGATGGGGCACGTATTCCTCCCACGGATACCAATGATGGAGCACTATTCCTGCCACTGATACCAATGATGGGGCACTATTCCTCCCACGGATACCAATGATGGGGCACTATTCCCCCCACTGATACTAATGATGGGGCACTATCCTCCCACTGATACCAATGATGGGGGCACTATTCCTCCCACTGATACCAATTGATGGGCACTATTCCTGCCACTAATACCAATGATGGGGCACTATTCCTCCCACTGATACCAATGATGGGACACTATTCCTCCCACTGATACCAATGATGGGGCACTATTCCTCCCACTAATACCAATGATGGGGCACTATTCCCCCACGGATACCAATGATGGAGGGGCACTATTCTCCCACGGATACCAATGATGGGGCACTATTCCTCCCACTGATACCAATGATGGGACACTATTCCTCCCACTGATACCAATGATGGGGCACTATTCCTCCCACTAATACCAATGATGGGGCACTATTCCTCCCACGGATAACCAATGATGTGGCACTATTCCTCCCACGGATACCAATGATGGGGCACTATTCCTCCCACTGACACCAATGATGGGGCACTATTTTCCTCCCACTGGTGGTGCATTGGAAGAGGGGTAGTCTTATACGGCGAGTATAGCCCAAACACTACATTTTAGCAGGAAAAGTATTGGGGGTCATCTTATACGCTGGCAAATACGGTATATATAAGTGAATAAATATAAATATGAACCTCCCAAG